ATTCCCTAAGAAGTCGCGCAGATATCATATCTAGGCCTGTGGCTTTCGATTTACAAAGCTTAGACAAAAGCGAGAACACTCTAGAAGGATCAGTACATTTTAACTCAAAACGTTTGTCAGTTCCCTCAAGGTAATGTAGGTGTGATGGACCATTATTAGAATAAATCTGGCTAGCAAGCTTGGGTCCAATAGAAGAAAAGTGATCGTTGAAGGCATCGGCCAGCTCAGGAGGGCCGTAAATAGAGTTACCGTTGCTTTTGATTTCTTTTATGCAACAATTATTAGTTTTCCTTGACGTGAGCTCATTTACAATCTTCCAGGTCTGGCGCGAATTGCCTTCGTTTTCATCTAATGCCCTTTTATAATAGAGCTCTTTTGCTTTTTTAATTTCGTTATTAACTAGGTTGCGACATTTTTTAAATTGTAGCCAGTCATTAGCATCCTTAGAACGCGATGCTTTCAATTTAAGAATATCTCTGTCATGCATTCGTTTCTTTAAGTAAGGTGTGATCCAAGGTGACTTTGAGGCGCGAGCCCGTTTTACATGAAGTGGGGCATGCTTGTTTACGCATTCCAGGAATAGTTGTTTCCATGCAGCCCACATTAAATTAGAATCAGAATAATTTTCGATGTTACTCCAATCCTGTTGACATATATCGTTACGAAAGTGATCAGAGTTAAAATTCTTAAATTTCCTATATCTCAGGGTAGTATGCTTATACGTTGTCGATTCTATAGAAACTTTACGAAAGGCGTAAACTAAACTGTGGTCGCTGATGCCTATATGTGAGACCCCTGAACAGACGACCCTATCTGGAGTATTTGTTAAAATTAGATCAATTAGAGTAGATGATTTGTCGGTAATTCTAGTATATTCGGTTATTAACTGATCAAGGCCGTAAACTTCAGCAATATTAGATAAGATATTTGTACTGTTGTCAAACTTAGGCACGGCTATATTACAATTCAGATCTCCTAAGACGTAATATTCGATATTTTCAGAGTCTAGTTTTCCAATAAGTTCTTCAAATGGTTTAAAAAGATCAATAGAAGAATCAGGGGGTCTATACCAGGTCATAACGGCAAAAGGCCTTGATCTGGGTTTCTTGATTTCGACAGTCAGACTTTCTAAGTGTTCACATATTAGGTCAGAGCGAACAGAATAATTGATTTCGGAACGAATAAAAAAACATACACCCCCTCCAGACCTACCGTTGGTAGAGCGATCGCTACGAATAGATTCATAGCCAGAAATATGAATTTCATTATCGCTTATTGTTTCATCCAATTTAGATTCGTTTATGGCTAAGATATCGATAGGTCTGTCGGAAAGCAAAATTCTTAGTTCGTCAATGTGTGCAGGTAGACTATTAATATTTAGCGAGGCTAATTTAAAGCCTCGTTTAGACGGGAGAAGTTCATGAGAAACGATTAGATTTCCAAGGTCGCGATTACGCTCTGAATTAAACGAACGGCGAATAAGTCAATTACATTCATCTAATTTATTCGCGAAGTTGTTATACATTTTGGCAATACCTGTCTCACCAAGATGAAGTCAACTTCACTGGAAAACACATTCCAGAGTTTACCAGGAAAAAAATGAACAGGAATATCTCCAAGTGAACTCTCAGTGTTAACAAAAAACAAATAGCTATCATAACCTAGCGTTCACCTTCATGCTGGCCGGAATATGAAATAACAGCTAACCCATGGATAACTTTGTCAGTCAAAATGAAATATATCGGAATAAATACGACATTCAATAGATAGCTGTGGAGACTTTAAGCCCAGGCCTGCTTTAAGCCAATGGTGTTTCACAAAAGATTTAATTTTTTTGGAATGCAGCTTTTTGAACCCTTGCCAAATAAATTAACTCTTTAAGATAAATACTCCGTAACTCTCCTAAGTTATGTCGTTAAATAATCATTGATAAAAAGCTAATTGAGAAGTTTACTTGTCTCGTGCTTATTATCAGGAATTATTTGCCATCATTAGAGAGATCTAGAATCACGTTAACTTTAAGACAAACGGCAAACGTCAGATTCAAGTTACAAATTTTCTTAAAATAGGAAATGAGTAGATAATAATGATCTGTCCAAAATATTTCTTATGGATGAAATTGGCACGAAACAACTGATTGATTTCTGGGTAGATATCATGAACACTGAATGAAGGGCGATGGAAAAACTGGTCACCTGGTAAGACTTGACGTGTGGCGTTTACCGTAAATTTGGTTCTAAATCTCTCTATCACTCTGAAAACAACCTTGACACTCAAAAACAAATGAGAACACTACAGGTCATACATTGCTTTCAACTGCTAAAAACGTAGCAAGTTCAACGTTCTTGAGGTTCTGAAATGGGTTAAAAAAAAGAACAAGCCAGGCTAAAAAGATCCTTCACCTTTGATGAACTAGTTAGTGCAGAAAGTATAAAATTGAAAGCTATATTAATAGACCTTATTCATGATACTCGCTATCTTTGGTGCTCGCGCTCAAGGACTGATGGGATAAAAGCGGTGTCACGTGGTTTCCCACGGGGAAACAAGTAAATCTGTCAATGCAAGAAATCTTGGTCAAGTTTGTTTGTTCTAGACAACAGAAAATGACCGAAGAACTTTTCATCTTTAAGGCAATAATGGTAAATTAGGGGTGGAATAACGACCGTAGTTGTCCTCACAGCAAGCAATACTAGCATAAAACTTGTCGAAACTCTAACTGTACGTAAAATCGTCTTGTTTTGTAGAATAAACAAACTCCACCGCGATTACTCGTATTGGTAAATTTATCACTAATTTGCCTCCTGAAATACCACGTGACATTGCATTTATCCCATCAATACTCAGAAATTAAAGTGCGTGCAAAGATGACGCGTACAGTGAATAAGGCGGTCTATGAAACGAGGGTACCCAACGACATTTTTCTGTAAAAACCCATAAATGTTTTATCACTCTAAGTCTAATATTCTTCATTCATAGATTCAGTCCTGACGTCTTTGATCGCACGTATTTTCAAAGAAAGTCTGTTGTCAGTAGCAACAACATCACAAGTTCTACACTGTATGTATTTCAAACAATAGAACCGATAAAATTGTCCAAAAAATGCGGACCTCCCCGGAGATAAACGAGTGTATATTTCTAATTTTGTCGGTCTGATTTTGGCCAGAGATTTTTATGTCTCACACGTAGCGTGTTAAAATATATGTTGTTTCAAGAGGTTACTCGGCTGTCTCCGCTAAGGAAATAGTCTGTCAGCTTGAATGGTAATGCAACAAGCGCCTCACAAGTGAATCTAAAAACAAACGGTATCTAAAAATCCGATATTTTGTTGAAGCGCAATGATGACTAATATACACTGAATATACCTCTTACCTCAAAATCAAATGATACCGTGGTCCGGTGGTAATGTTGATTCGTGTCTGTTCTCCTTCTAGGTTGCCTGCGTGCAGACGTCTCCTATTTCCTTTGTTGCACGCGGAAAAGGAACTTCTTCTTCTTTTTCCGCGTGCAACAAAGGAAATAGGAGACGTCTGCACGCAAGCAACTTCTAGGTTATAGAGACCAGAACGACGCTTCCCGCTCCTCTCTCTCTGCTCGAGTTATTGCGAGAAGGTTGGAAAGCAAAACGAAAAAAACAAACAAAACAAAAACAAAACAAAAAAAAAAGAAGGGGAGGGGGAGGGGGGGAAGGTGTGTGTGAGAGAAGAATGAAAGATTCCCTTTCCACTCCCCCTCCCTCCTTATCACTCTTTTCCCTCTCGTGCCAGCTTTCGGGCAATAATTCGAGCCAAAAGAGCATAATAAAACCTTTTGCTTGAAAGGAAACGCTTGCTTCGCAGGCTGTGTTTCGACATGAACTTTTTTTTGCCATAATTATAGGAATAATTTAGAGGTTGACCAGCTAAATCAAAAGGCAGACGAAGTTAAGAATAAAACTAAGAAATAAAATCAATGAATTTTTTCTGACCTAATATCTTTAAAACCTCCGGCAATATGACCCTCTAGGCCGATAACTTTAGCCCATATATTAACTGCTCGTTTAAGACGGCTTTCAATTTATTAAGTGAATCTGACATGAGATCTTTTTCCGGTGAGTTTGAATTAGATAAAATTATTTTTTTAAAAAAATAAAAACGAAAGAGGGCCGTGTCAGTTACAGGATGTTAAAGAATGGAATTTCGTTGTCCTGTTTATATTCAATGGTAAATTTGATACTTTTGTGACTATTCAAATGCTGTCATGGAAGATATTAATCATCATGGTTAATGTGTATTAAGGGTTTAGTATTATCGTTTTTCACACGATTGTCACTGTGATATTGATCGCGACGTTTCGACTGCACACTGCAGGTCTTCATATCCTTATGGGAAAAGTGTGACAATATCCGCACTTTGTCGGACTTTTCCACACTTCCACACCTCTTAGAAGTGCAGAACTAAAGTAAAGAATGAGAAGGGAAGTGTGACAATATCATGACTTTAAGGGACTTTTAACTTTCACACCTCTGAAAGGTTTAGAAGTAAGAAAAGAATGACAAGGGGTTAGAGACTGGGGCAAATGTGTGACAACATCCTGACTTTGTCGGATTTTTCCACACTTTCACACCTCTGAGAAGTGTAGAACTTCGCCTGGAACTTAGTAAAGAATGACAAGGAGTTCGTGTGTGACAATATCCTGACTTTCTCACACTTTTCCACACTTCCACAACCTCTGAGAAGTGTAGAACTTTGCAAAGAATGACCAGGAGTTCATGAGTGGAAAACAAGTGTGACAATATCCTGAATTTGTCAGACTTTTCCACACTTCCACTTCCACTTCCACGCTGGAAAGTGTGGAGCTTAGTAAGGCCTGGTTCACACCCTACTTTTTATGTGCTGAACCTAACGTTAACTGAATAAGTTCGACTTGGAGCGACACTGGCGCGATATCTGATTCAGACGGCGTACCGAGTGTCGAGCCTAAGTTAAGTTCGACAAACGTTCGACAGACCCTGTCGAACTTAACCCTTTTGGCCCACCAAACTAAAATTGCCGTACCAAATTGATTCAGATGCCGCTTTTTTCCCGTACTCAGGGTAATTCATCAGTTAGCTTCGGTACATGAGTGGAGCGGCGTCTGTCTGAACCGGGCCTTAGCCGGGTACTTCCACACTTCCACACCTCGGAGAAGTGAAGAATTACGGATGAAAAAGGAAAATAGGGATCTTGTGGCCAGCGCTGGACATTTGTGTGATTTGGCAAACAAATTAAGAATGATTTTGAACTCCACGTATACCTATGGAACTTCTGTAGCTAAGCCTACCTGCATGCCGGTCAAGGCAAGAAAGCCGACCGCAATCAGCCTTCTTTCTCACCACTCATTCTTTGCCACCAACCTCGCGTATCGCGAGAAGGATTTGAAATGATCGATGTTCATATCGGCAAAGTAATAGGCCAAAATTTTGAAGTTATGTTGAACTACACATAGGAACGATATTTACTAAAAATCTTTTCTATCTCTGGCAGGCATTACTTGGACTGAATGAGATCCAACTGAACTGAAAAATGAAATTCATTAAGGCCAATATATATCAGTAAAAGGAGTTTTTTTCTAAAAACTCTTTTCAGCGAAGTTACAAACAAATACATGTACTGAATCAGTGTATACCTTCACTGAATTATCACAAATAACCAATAAAAGAAGCTTTTAGACTAAATTCCTTGACCAACTTCCTTACCAAACCACATTTCATCTCTCAAGTTCCACGTTGGATTATCTTTGCAGGGCTTGGGTACATATCGCCACATGCTATTAAATACATGGTAATTAAACTTTGCGTTTTTACAAAATCTTGCAAATTCAGGAATAGGTGAAAAATTTTTAGCGTTGTCATTAGCTCTTAGCCCCAGATGATACATGGTCTTACCGTATGCCCCATGCACCCCTAAATAGGAGTCACAAACTCTCCTGATTTTACTAAATCGAGGAACATGTGACGCTGGAGGCTGATGATGTAACCTAGTATCGTGGAAGTATGTTTTCTTTAGAATTTTTCTCAGCCACAACATCACTTGTTGGTCCGCATGTGGATGACACAACATCGAGCTTTCGTTCTGCCCCAAGAACTTCTGAATGATATCTTTAGTGAATATCATAAATGCTTCATCCAGCCATGTGATTCCTGCTTCACAGTGGAAAAATCCCCAAACTAGATTTTGTTTCGGCCTCGATGGAAGCTCAGAAAGAAGCCTTTTTGGGCACAAGAAGTAGTCATCATCGATTCTAAGTAGGTACTGAAAGTTAAATTTCGCCGCTGCCCATTTGATTTGGTCAAGGAAGCGGAATCCAAACTGCCCACGGCCTCCTTTAAGAGGCTGAAGCTTAATATCCTTGTATTTATCCTTTTCGTTTAAAATAAGGTTACGTTGAGTTCGGTTTGTCATGAGTCCATCAGTCATGAAGACACATTCAACCTGAAGAAAGAAAAATTCAAGTTATACCCACGAGGCCAGAACTGCCCTTATGTCCCGGGTGTCGTGTGAGCCATCTTCAGGGCTTTTCTCGTGGAATCTGGGATGGGACCATCCAAAAGTCCAAGAGAAAAGCCCTTGGGCCCCAACCTAGTCCCTAGGCGTTCTGTCTGGCCCAGTTGTCCGCGCAAAGTCTGGGAAAGAGCGAGCAAGTCTCTCTCGGTGACGTCATAGTACACGGCAGAGTCCAGGATTGACCGAGCCTAGAACGCCTAGGGACTAGGCTGCTTGCGCCCGTTTCTCGAAAGTCCCAGTAACTTTATGGCCCCGATATCAAATATTCAGATGAGATAATGAATAGTTCTATCATATTCAAAGTAGACAGACTGCAAATTATCTTAGTTGCTAAAAAATATATATCTGCGTGTCGCAACTGTTCATCACTAGGATGCCTAAAATGCGTGCAATTCCACAATTGGTTTCGGCGCCATTAAATCCTATACCAATTACAGAACATTTTAGGAGGAGCCACCTACCATGTGGGCACAGTCACGGACAACACATATAAGTGAGGAAAATAACGCAAAGTAAAATTAAGTAAACCTACTGAAACTTCGATCTTTAATGTAAACGACAACTTAGCTTTTGTGTTTTGTTTGCCCAACAGAGGTCCCAGGCCGGGGAACTTGACTCTTTGTCTTTTCAGTAATTACGCGTAGATATGCACGAGAATAACACGAAATGTGAAAGAAACAGTTCTCTAGAGTATTACTAGTAATAGTTGACACTACAGCTACCCCTGCCGTGTAAGTTCACTTGTTGGTCAATAGTACTCTTGCTCGTTGTGTAGCTCTTAGCTAGCTCTATGAAATATACCGATTCACCTTGAAGATTTTCACAAATATTCCATACATTGGTGAGATAAAAACAGGAAACGAATATGATGAAATGATGAAACTAGACGTTTTCTGGAAAAGCAGATTAACGAATACTTTAAATTCTCTCTATTTAAACTTTGACACCTTCCATTGAGGATTGAGGAGCTTTTAGTATTTACAAGAGTGAAGGAACGAAAACGTCACTTTACTAGAATTCGAGCTGTTTTCAACATAATTGCTGTTGACTACTATTGGACCTCGTTTAATTGTCAAATTTTGGCGAATTTTTCTGAAGGTTTATTCCAAAAGGACTGTATGCAAGTTCAGAATCGGTGTCTTTTGTTCACGTCCTCGGTGTAAAACGTCAAATTAGGTTTTTCACGTCGAGGTTGTTGAACGACAATAAAGAAAGTACAAAACAAGGTGTGATGTACGTGCAAAGTTGTTGTTTTGCTAACTTATTTAAACCTGTTGATTTTTGCTTGTTGTAGTCGTCGTCGTCGGTAGAAAATTTCGCTATGAATAACTGAAAGTAAAGTATTCGTGAAATCGTGAGATAACAGGCGATAAGGAACTTATCTTGCCTGCCTACCTGAGCCTGATTGCCAGAACAATGTTTCCACCAGGTTTTTCTTATTAACTGTCTTCTTTTAAATCTTGCTGGTGCAGTGGAAACGATGATCAATAGCAATACTGCTCTCTTATTCCTTCCCAAGTCTTTAAAATTAATCAGTTGATGGAGAGTTTCGTCTATATCTGAGTCGTCTGTGTCGTTGATTTCTGTTTGATTTTTTACTGGGGCCATAATGACTATAGGGGTAGTATTTGCCTAGGTAGGCGCATTTTGTAGCTTTGACGGGCGTTTCTGATTATGGAAAGTGATAGTGAAGTAGAGAGACGCCATCCATGTCCAAGCTGAAGCGAAGATAAGGGCGACAATTATGACTCGTTTCTTGTTATAGACCATTGGCAGTCATTGGGTTGTTGAGACCAGAAAGACGGGCGATCTTGTAGAGCTCAGTAGCATTAACACTGGATGGAACAACAACAACAACAAAAAAAAAAACATTGAAAAACAACCCAGTATCGCGCCACATATTTAGTATCCGATTAGTGTAACCAAGCGTTAGACCGTCGGTCAAATACCCTGGTGTCAGTTACAGTACTGTGCAAAAGAAATGAGAGTGAAATTCGCAAAGTTTGGCGAACGAATTGCTAACTTTCGTTTCAGAGGAAAATTCGGCGAAATTTCGGCGCATCTATTATGCTAGTCCCTGGGAAATTCCGGAAGCTAGGTGATGAACCGAAACGAAAGTTTGCGGCGTGAACCAAAATTTCGTTGCGAAATTTCGTGAAGGGTTCACGAAATTTTGCGTTCGTGTTAGACGATATTTCGGTTCGACAAAACCGAAATTTCGTGTGAGCGAAACGAAATTTCGTTATTGAAAAATTCTTAACTGACCAGAGCGCGGTTGTTTAAAGCAGGATTAAGGTAATCCAGGATTAGAGCGAAATTTGACTTCAACTGTGAACGCTCATGACAAAGCAGATTCATATGGATTCTTTTTCCCTATCACTCACTGATCATTTGATATTTGAACGTTCTAAAATGACGAGTCGAAACAAACATAAAAAGTGCTGTTGAGAAAAAGAAACAGGAACCCCGATTAAAGCTGACTACATCCGGATTTTCAGACATGATTCGATGTATCATGATTCGACCTGTCATGATTCGACACTAATCACGTGACGTATGGCTTCGTACTGCGTAAACGTTGCAAACAAAGGCAGGCGAGAGTTCTGGCGTGGGATCCGAAACAGTTAGAGAAACATCTGGGTGGCAAGGAAGGCTTTACACCAAAGAACGTAAGTGCAACGAAGCTAGAATCCCGACAAACGCATTTTACCTAAAGAGGAAGGCTTTATTGCGTGGAAAGCGGCGACCTGGGGTGCTTACCATTTGACGGAAAATTTCGGAAATTCCGGATGGAAGGTAAATGGTAAGGTCACTTTTTCGGAAATTCCAACCGAAAATTGAGGAGTACGTTTTCAGGTAGTCCTTTCATTCCGGTTGGTACGAACCAAACGGAATGTTGCTTACCATTAACCAATTTCTCGGTTCCTTCTCAGTTCCAGACTCACGCGACACAAATTTACCCTTTTTTTGGATTCAAACCGTAACGGATATGGCATTTCTACGGTAAACTGGCAAATCGCTTACCATTATGCTTTCGACACCCCAACCGGATTTTTCTGTCAAATGGTAAGCACCCCTGATAACCGGTCATGTTGAAACGCAGACCATACAGACTGCAGACTGCAGACTGTGCAGACTGAGTATTATTTTTTTTTACTTGTACCTTAATTTTCTAGTAAAATTTTTCGCTGTGGCTATATGGCCGGTAACCGGTCAAAGTTTTCAAAACACTAAATGGCTAGCAGTCCTATATTCTCAGTAAATTTCGCAGTCCACTCAATGGCAAAGAACAATTACTGAAAACTTGATATTATTTCTATACATCAACGCAAAGTTAAGATTACCTTGTACAAAAAAGCCTTTTTGTTTCATCATATTAAACGTCGACAAGATAATGTTGAAGTGTATTTCAGCTCCAGAAGGGAACTAACGCGTAGGGACTTTTCCCGCCGGTTTTCCACGGAGGCCTCATGAAAGGTCAAGATACTATGACATCAAACGTCGCCTGTCCCGCCATGCTTTGGATAGAAAATAGTAACGAACATCCAAAGACTCGAGACCGGCAAAAACATAATATAGAAATCCCACAAAACCGGCTGGTTTGATCAGGATCACGACTTATGATAGTTCAGAACGACTGAATTTTTTCGGTTTTTTGAAATTTACTGAGAATATGGGACTGCCGGCCATTTACACATGTAATGTTTTGAAAACCTTGACCGGCAGTCGAGCTGAAAAAAGTTCTAAGTGTCACAAAAGACTTGAGATCTATAAAGCATTTCAGGATCGCTTGACTTGTCTTAATCGACATATGATAGTTTAGATTAGCTAGAGTCTTTCAATTTTGTGAAATTTACGGAATATGGGACTGCCGGTCATTTAGTGTTTTTTAACACCTTGACCGGTTACCGGCCATATAGCCACAGCGAAAATTTTTACTATAGTTTCCCGCAGGAGCGAGCACGATGGAGGAAGGTAAGCTGTTTCTTTCTGTAACTGTACTATATTGCCACGATTATTTAAATTTTTTTAGTAGAAGAAGCTTTTTCAGGTTAAGTGACTTAAAATAAAACCCTTTTCGCCTTCCCACAACGGCTACGAGAGAGACATTTCCTTTCCTCTGTAGGAAGCCGAAAAGGGTTTTATTTTAATTCACTTAACCTGAAAAAGCTTCTTCTACTAAAAAAATAAATAATCGTGGCAATATAATACAGTTACAGAAAGAAAAAGCTTACCTTCCTCCATCGTGCTCGCTCCTGCTCAATGGGGAGGAGCGTTGCGTGACGACACTAAAAACGGCTGGGTAGCAGACTAGCGTGATAGCGGCGCAGCTAAAAGCAGGAGAAACTGCTTTTACATCTGCCGGTAAACATGAGCCCGTGATTTTCTCATTTCCTACTGATGACCCTTGCAGGTACACATCAGTGCACATATGGTGGTGATGCACAGTGCACATAATGAGAGGAAGCAGGAAACTATACTAAAAATTTTACTAGAAAATTAATGTACAAGTAAAAAAATAACACTCAGTCTGCACAGTCTGCAGTCTGCATGGTCTGCGTTTCAACATGATCGCCTGATAACATGCAATAAACCAGGAGTTCGATTGCCGAGTTTGAATGTATTTCTGTGGGCGATTTCATAATGGTCGAAATATCAGGTCAATACGGCGAAGGGCGAAATAGTCTGATTTTTATTGTTTAGTCTTCTTTCGTATTACAAGGTTTCGACTTTTTGGCGTTGGTAAATGCCTGCAATTTACATACATTTAATTTTACGTACATTTAGTTAACAGTTAAGCAAATTTGTATTTCCTGAATTTGGTACTTTTTCGTCCTTACTAAGCTTCTGCATGGTTAAAACATAACATGAAGTCTTCACGTTTTGCAGAAGAAATCAACAGATAAATTGATCAGTCTGCCGTTGTGAAAGATTTTGCTGGGGAGTTTGAAAGTTTTGTCTTGTCGACCCTTGAAAAATATCAACAATGTTCGGTCCTCGACCTATGAACGTATCATGACGGTCGAATCACAAACGTCAAATCATGTCTAAAAATCCGCGTGTATACACAGCGCTGAAATCAGTTGTACGCTACTGACTATAAATTGTATTCTATCTTAGCGATCGTTGTCGTTAACGGATCGCTACGATAATAGACCTTTTTACCGATACGGCGGCCATATTGAATTACATTCGATTTAAGGAGTTTTATAGGATGCCCTGGGGGCATGAGCACATTTCGTTTGTATTTTTGAGCGCTTTTCGGGACATTTTTTCTTAAAGTTTTCTTAGAATAAGATTGTAATGGGAGAGAAGATCCTTGTGCCGTGTTTGGATGTAATAATGATCGCCTTTTTCTAGTTTAGTATTAAAAATATGGTCTTTCACCGTATATTTCTCGGGAAAAAGGCGATCATTATCACATCCAAACAAGGCACAGGGACCTTTTTCCTCATTAAAATCTTATTCTAAGAAAACTTTTAGAACAAATGTTCTGAAAAGCGCTCGAAAATACAAACGAAATGTGCTCATGCCCTCTGGGCATCCTATAATACTCCTTAAATCGAATTAATTCAACATGGCCGCGGTATCGGTAAAAAGTACTATTGAACAGTTGCTTTCAATCAATCCATTTTTCAACGATCCTACCGATCCTATCAATCATACCGAAACCAGACCTTACATGTACATGCACCAGTAACATTACAAGAACCTCAGTAAGCGGAAAATCTTGTGAAGAAAATTTGAGATGGAAGAACACTTGTTGATCTACGTAACTATTGTTATTTGTGTTTTAATCTTACTAAATGAACGCGGGGTTTTACTGGATCTTGCCGTCTGTTGTTCGTCGATTCATTTTTAAAAAGTAAAAAACCGTCAACACCCTTCACAAAAAAATATTGAGAACATTCTACAGAAATTCACCCGGGCGATCAATCTCAACCTACTTTTGAAATGACTCCTGGTTTCAAACCTTTCACAAATGTACTTTTCTTACCCACCTTTTTCAATTAGGTTCTTATGGAGCGATCACTTGCCAGATCCATGGCCAACAGAGACTTTTAACATAGTAGAAAATTCGCGTGATCAAATTCCGTAGTGTGAGCTTCCTTTATATTCCCATTGAGCACGCTAGTGACGTCAATAAACTATGATTATACCTCGAGTTATTATGAGCTTTTGATAATGTTATAAAACAATTAGTTAATATCTGCATGTGTATGATGGCTGGGTCGAGATATTGAGCACGCGGAAAGTTTGATGAGCACTCAAGAGTACAGTGGCCCATATCTGCAAACAGCGAACAGTTCTTGAAACACAAATATATACTCCTGGACCACACCAAACACTTTTCGAAACACAACACGGTATTATCTAATAACATTAATAATAATAACATTTATTTATACCCCGCAAATTCAACTATACAGTTTTCAAATGCGCCTTACAATTAAAGATCTAAAAATATACCTTAAACCTAAACCGGAAAAATATTCGCAAAAAATTGCGTCACTTCCGATTGCTCCCAAATTTGGCAAAAAGGAATTTAATAGATTTAGCCAATCACCTGCCTAGTTCCAGCCCCTGTGGACTTTTGACCGTGACACAACGAGCTTTCGAAAATTTTGAATTTTATGGCGAGTCGCGGGGAATTTTTGTGAGCCGGTTTTGCGAAGAATGCAAGCTTGAATCGACGAATGTCAACCAAATACAAGTCAAGCAAACTATTCTGAAAGATTTTGGAGGATAACAAGCAGAATAAACGAGAAAACTGAAGTAAGGAAACACTTAGAATCTGTGCATGCAAATCGCTGATCGCCGAACTCTGTGCCACATATTCTTGAAACGGCGACGATTTCCTTCCCGTTTTGCCTTCGCTTCGCTTTTCGCCGTCAAATTCTTGCTTATTTTGATGAATTCTATCAGAAAATTCATGTCTGCTTGTCTCTAACTCGATATTTGTTTGGGAATCGAGGAAACATAGCGTCTAAGTGAAGTAAACATGTGGTCACGAGGTGACGCCAAAGGATTATGCTAATTACTAGGTCTACCTATCGATAGAGTGCCAACGAGCAAATCATGCGTATTTTGCTTAGGAATAAAATTCCTTTTTTTCCCATTTGACCGTTTCTTGGTCCCTTCCTGTTGAAAGGACTATTTTCTTGAAAAGTTCTCAGATTCAGTCTGGTGGCTTTACAAACCTGTTATGTCAAAGTGTGAAGTGCCTTGAAAGAATTGTCGGTTCGGTTTCACATTGTTGATAAATATTTGCACAGTTAATCATTTAAACCTCCTCCCGAGGCTTTTTGTTATCGGATTGAAACTTAGAATGATTCGCTGGGCCATCTGAAATGTTTCCAAGGACATGCGATGTAGGGCACGTCGGTATTTAATTTTATACTGAACTCGGCCACGTTTCGAAAAAAATGGCGTTGTTTTCTTTTCCTTTGTCGTTCGCTTTAGGCTTGTAATTCGTTTCTGTTGTCATTGTTTTTGTTTGCTGGTTAGATTTTTTTCCCCAACACCAGATTTTCCAACAGAAGCGACTGCATTCTTCGTGTCAAGCTTTCCTATCTCATCGTGTAATCTGATCCTTTTTAGTGGTGAGAATATTGCTTGCTGCACATAGAACCCTTTTGCTGTTTTACAAACTTCTCTTCGTTAAAACTTAACATTATGGCCCCTAAAATTAATAGAATATATCAAGTGCTCATGTCTTGACTGCGGTGGCCGGGTTTGACGAAAAAATTTAGGTAAAGAAACACAGGAAGTCGCAACGGCGGGAAGTGTGTGAAATTTTGTTTGTTATTCAACTTGAGCCCGTGCGCCAGGTACTACCTTTTGATTGGTTCACAACTGACCACTTGGTCTCAGGGGAATCTACATTACATTAGGTTTAATACACTTTTTTCAGCTCGATCGAGAATTTTTCTGCCTATTGCCCAGTCTTACGCGGCTCTATTCTGCTGCCGCCTCGCCACCCGAGCGTCTTCGCTCGGATGGCTCGTTGGCAATGATTATCTAATTAGCATAATCATGAGAGAGTGCAGAAAAAAATTTGTAGAAAATTGCTAGTCGCTCCATGTTTTAGAACGATTTTAGTTTTTTTTGCTTAGATATTGATGAAAAAAATTTCTTACTACCATATCACCCAAAATAAAGAAGTTTCTTAGCTGAATGACATTCTTTAAAATTTTAAATAATTTTTATGCAAAATATGCTTTTTAAATTTTTTTGTGGCGGAATACTATGGGTCTCCTACGACCGACATATTTTTTTTTTCAAAAGGGTATTCTTTTCCCTTTCCAATGAGGTATAGCTTGATATTGAACTGTAAATAACACCGGAGATATGATTTTTTTAAAGTTACGTGGCAAAATACATTAAAATAGTTTAGGGAAGACGTGGTTAAAGATCTAAAAAAAAAAAAAAAATTACAACATTGATTTACAACATTATATCAGAAAAGGCTTTTTTAAAAAGGTGAGTCTTCAAATTACGTTTAAAAACTTGAAAATCGGAGGTGCATCTAAGATCTAACGGAAGATTATTCCATAGTTTTGGTGCGGCGGCTACAAAGGCTCGGTCACCAAGAGTAGGGAGAGTAACAGCATCCATAACTTGTTGCTTGTAAAAAGGATCTTTCTAACTAAACAGAAGAAGTTTCTTACGAATATTTTTTATATTATAGGGTTAAGTTGAACTGCTCAAAGATAAAGGTAGTCTCTACTAACTTCCAAACATGTTTACATAGCAGGGGTGGATCCAGAAAATTCAGAAAGAGCTGGTGTGAGGCAGCGGTTTGCCACTTCCACCCATCCAATAATTTAGTACAGGTTTTGTTTGGAAAAAAGGTTTCCAAAAAAGCAAGTACTTTACTATCAGCACCTTTTGAATTGGCGTTTACTTCATTCAAAATCCTTTTTCTCCTCTTACACAGGAAAGAAACTTTCAAAAAAGGCAGTAAAATCTACCCGTACCATTGCAAGTGTTCGGATCCACGTTGAACGTGCTATAGGCCATTTGCACTTAGAGGTCATGTAACATCGTTTTTATGAAAATGAAAGTTATATGATTTTGCCTTCGAAAAACGATTAGGGGATCATATCTTGAACAAAATCATAGTTATTTGGTTTTTCACACCCGCACCATTTTCTTAAAATGAGTAAGTTCGTAGCTGGTCACGTGACCAAAATGTGATTTTTAAAATTATGAATTACCTCTTTCTGAACACAAATTTTGCACTTAAACTTCAAGGAAAATGTTGAAAAGATGATGTGGTAGCGTTTACAGTACATCTGAGCGCAACTATCATGCGTTTAACATGATATAAGCAAAAAGTAGTTTTGGCCGCCATGTTGGAGGGCAAGAGTATGCCCTCCAACATGGCGGCCAATACAAATCATACTACTTTGTTGAAAAATCAAAGTGTCATAAAATATATCCCTTAAATGAGTTTCCTCTCAAATTTCGGGGGTATGATTATTTTTATGTGCTCTGTCAATTTTTGGCATCAGTAAGATTCCAACTCATTGTTTAAAGGAAGCATTGGTGACATGGGCTCTCAGAGCAAGTGGCCTATTGGACATCTTAAGGACTTTAGAATTCTACAAGGGAACTTCCTTCTTCAAATGCTACCCATTGCAGACAATATTCTAAGTGTTTGTGCTGCTCTGTGTAATTTGCTACCACCACTGGCCAAATGACTGACGCATTTGTCCAGAGAGCAGAAAAGCAGACCAAGTTATTACGACGTGGAAGTGATTGCAACTTAGTGTATGTAAATGGTAAATGAAACGTGTATTAAACGTATCCAGAGACAGATCAATAAAATTATGTGGTATCTAATCCAGCACAGACAAAAAATACTATTTAAGCACCTTCACTTTTACAATCATCGTCTTATGGCAGTCACTCTATAATGACTTAAGTATGTCATGGTGGAATAGTTCCTGAACTGTATACTCCACGAAGAAGTTTCTCAGCTTTTGGAGCATTTCATTCCACAAATCACTATCAAACTTAACGTTTACAATCAATATTCCTTTGAGGGTATATATAACTAGATCACAGCGATGAATCCCTGTTATCCCCATCAGTCCCTGGATTTGGTAGTTCCATTTGGTTTCTTTCTTAATTTCATACTTGCCATCCACAAGCATGAGGTCTCAGCTGCAACATGTGGAGGGAGATTTCTTTATGCATACATGCTTTTAACTTCAATTAACTTCTTTTGGCGGCAAGCACAAATCCTTATACCATCTGGACTGCAGGCTCCTAAGAAGGGCCATAATGTGTTTACAATGAGTCTTTTTTTCTACTGACAACTTCTCAAGATTTTTGTTCTTTTTTTTTTTTATGTAAAAGTAAGTGCTCGCTTTTCTTTCTCATGCTCCCATGTCAACTGTCGTGACATGGCATCTTCAGCAATTGGACAGTAATTCATGAAATGTTTAACCCATTCGCTCCTAGAGATTTTGCCGAAAAACGCGTTTTGAAGCTAGTCGAGTGGTTTTCTGGTCACTGTCGTGCTATAAAGAGCTATAACTTACCACAGACCGGTTTACAGGTCGTACACTTGGCGGCCTTCTGATCCAGATGCAAAACATCAGCTTGCGATGTTCGGGCATGCGCAGAAAGCAAAATTTCGACAGTCTTGACTTTTACTTTTCGCTTTTTCTCCTCCCTTCTTTTTTCGCTTTTCTTGCCTCATTTTTTTTCTCTTGCTGGGCATTTAGTAGGCTTCATTTTGGTGGGAAGAGTTTTTAGGAAAGCTTTTAGGATCTTAGGATTAGGTGAAAGGAAAGGTAGGTGGGCAATGAAACAAGATTTTCATGGAGATTTTCAGGTCAATGTCACGTGGTTTTTTGCTTCTTTCTCCGGTGTCCTTGACTGAATTGTGCTCATTCTGGTATGGTTTGAAAGATCTCTTCACTCTACCCAAGTTAGCGAAGAAAGTTGTCCTTGACCGTTAAAACTGATGACGTCACAAAGGGTAGAAAGGACCTGGATCCGCACGGGCGGTTACGTGCGGTTCAGGGGCGAATGGGTTAATAGTGTTTCTTCTGTCTCTGCTCTCTCTAAGGTGGCACACAGTGTAAAATGAGGAAGCTGTAATTCTTCCTGCCCTTTGATCAAACCAAAATTGAGACGGATTGATAGACAGTTTTCTTGTTGATCATTTCTGCTTGCTCTTCATTAAATGGAATAGACTCGAGGAATTCAATTGCAAGTTCTTTAGAAACTGTAGGCATCACTTTTTCAGTATTAACAGAAACAAACACTTTGGCGTAATCATTCATTGAATATACATGTACACTTTGAACACTTTCTTCTTTACAGACATTAACATCACTGCTGATGAAAGCTCTGACTTCGTCCTCTGTTTGCCTGGGTCCTTTAGTTGAAGATAAAAAAGGCAGAGCTGAAGAGCTAGGACATATTTCCAGCAACCCAGCTTTAAAATCTTGTTCAAGTTCAGTCACATTATAGGGAATACAAATTGGATTAAAATCTCTTGGGTGAATTGGGTCTTTCAATGTCACACCTTAACTACCACTCGTTTGAAGGTCCTGAATGGGCAAACTTCCCTCATTTCTCTTTCCTCTCTTTTTCCTCATGCACTGTCCTGATGTACATGACTGGAGATCATTGAATCTCACGTTTGCTTCTAGATCAAACAATGCTGCAGCTATGTGCCGGCAACCTCCATCTGCCCTGTTAAAAGGAGGACCAATATGACAAATATGTATCTCCTATTGTTCACACTGATAGACTGTAAAGCAGCCAATAAGTTCAGTTACTAGGCTCACAGACTTTGAACTACTGTTTTAATACTTAGTGCTGAAGTCATAAATGATCCAGAAGGTTTGAGACTTAAAATAATGCATCCATTGATTTAGATCTTCAATTCAGGAGGCATCTACTTTTTACTCATGTTACAACTGCTACAACGAAAATATAAACCTTCGAATCTGAATAAAACAAAACCTGTCACAGAGAAAAACAACCGAAAAGACCAAACGTTTTGATTCTCAAACGTATGTTTATGGAATATCAAGCACATAGACAGGCTTCAGAAATCAAAAGAAGAAAATACATACCCTATATACAGCAATTTTTGGGACTTTCATCTCCTCACTTTTCTCACAAAGTTCTACCAGTTCAACCTTACGTTTTCCTGAGCTTTGAATGCCCCTTTGTATTCTTTTAACCAAGGAACCGGTTTACAGTGAAAATTGCCTGCAGCAGAGTCAGCCATCTTGTGTCCTCTAAGCCTCGCTTACATGCGACTACCTAGTTCTCAGGAGTGCGCGGTCAAAAATATCGAAAGGACCCTATTTTCAAGCGCCCTCTATAGAAAAGTGCACATTTGGCACGAGTTCCTCATGCGATAGCATATTTCCAACGAGTTTCAACCAAGCCTTTAAGTTGAAGTTTCCTTTAGCGAAAACTTCACCTTTTTGCACATGTTGGTTGGTTTATAGGTGCACAGACAACAAAATTTCTCTTTTTTTGCAAAAACATGAAAAGTATTAAAAGTCCATTTCCGTAGAATAGAAATTCACTATTAAGTTAAAAAATTGAAAGAGGTGGTTAATATGAGCAGTTTGTGCAAGTTTAGCTTTTTGTAATCAGTAACAAAGGAAATAGCAGCAATCAAATACTGCTAAATTGTTGGGTGGCAAAACGTTAATCTTTGTCAATTTTGGGCTTTTCTCGGGACCTATTCGTTACACCGGGCTCAAATTTTGAGAGATAACTGAAACTGGTATGCTCTTTCAATAAAAAAAAAAAATTATTTTATTAACTTCATCAGATAACGATAACCATATGCCAATAAGAAAAAAAAAACATGTGAAAAAGGATTCACCTACAACCTGGGAAATGACTATTTGCCAAGTTAAAACGGGACTGGGTGTAAATCAGTTTTCAAAGGCCAAAATAAGGCACAGGAAAAATTTGTTATATACAGCGAACTGCAACATGCAAAAAATCATAAACTCGCTAACTTTACCGAAAATAAGCACAACTTCCATCAAACTTAGCTCGAAATGCTGGCTAAATACCTGTCGGTAACTCTCTTCTTAAAATTTAAAAGAACTAGATGGGTCATGAACGGGAAAGTTTGTCATTCTGTTGAAGAGCCTTTCTGGGGAACTATCTGGTTCTCACAACAAACAGACGATTACTTTGTTCAATTGACTCCTTTTTATTCTTTAGTCCAATGTCACGAAGTTAACTCAACTCCTATTTTACAATTCTCTGCTAAATCAGTGTTACACCCATTTTTATATCAGCCAGGAAACTAGCTGCTTAGTGCAAACCGAATGCTGGCGTAAGTCTGATCCGATTGGTTAAAACAGTCTCATTAGCATAAAACCTTCGAGATAATTGCTTTGTCGAAATGACTCTTCAACCGAAGTTTTCACTATTAAGCTTAAGTCAACTGGCAAATATAAAACTAGGAGAACGATATAAAAACTACAAGGTATATACTAGTAAACAGACTTTTCATATTAACAGATAGGAAGGTACTAAAATTACAGTTTGAAAATCTAAGGTTGTTGTCAATTTGCAGATAAGCTTCTTCATCGAAGATGATTGGCTAAAATTTTTCCATCAATTAACCACGAACGGGATTGCAAACTCAAAGGGTAAATTAAAAATGCAGCTCAAAGTACAACGCAGAATTTAAAACAATAGTTGTTTAACTATAAAAACACCTATAAAATCACTTAAGCCCAATTAAAGTTATCCACTGCCAAGAATTCGGTTAAAAACTCAAAGAAACACGCTTAAAACTGTTACAAACAAACAGGGTAGTCATTTCCTGGTAAATATCGAAGGAAGACCAGATTAAGGTCAAAAATGTTAAATTGGACAAAACACTTAATAGCGGGGCTCCCGCGCGCGCGAAGCGCCCCTGGTACAGAGCCCCATACCCATGGAATATGGTCAACCTCTTTTCGTTTGGTTGTCACGTGATTGACCGAGCGTACGTACGTACGCGTCTACAGATTGTATGGGTGGGGTAGAGGAGACTATCAAAAGGAAGGGAGGGTGTCTCAGGCGTGTCTTGGCAAGCCCACATCTTTAATATAGGACATTAACAATATGGTCAATTGACAGCTGTCCAAACAGGATAGCCACTGACCAGTATCCCATGACCATATCGCGGGCTCATGTGTCAACTCATCGAGGTGACGTGATTTATTTGGAAGCTGTCCGCTGACCAGTTAACTGTTTTACTAGATCGCGAACAACGTTCAATCTCATACTTTTACTAGTTTGGGAGCACAGGAAAACTGATAATGCACACATATTGGACATTAATGTTTTGATCAATTGACAGCTGTCAAAACAGAGTACCCGCTGACCAGTATCACTTGACCGTATCGCGGGCTCAGGTGTCGACCCGTCGAGGTCAAGTATTTTTTGAAGTTATCCGCTGACAAGTAAACTAGTTTTCAAGTGATCGCAGGCTCAAGTTCAATTTTTTTTCTTAATTCATATGAAATATGTTGTGTTTATGTGCTGCACAATTAAAATTTTGATTGCAAACTGACCTCGGACGTGAAAATTCAGCCAGCTGTTACAGGCAGGGAAGACAGTTGCTTTTGTTTTTTTCTCACAATGGTCACGCGTTGGTCACGCTCTACGTCCAATTTTTATGCTCTGATTGGTCAAAATTTGACAGGTGAGTTCATGCGCAAAATTTATGCAGCATCTTGAATCTTGTTTACTTTAACAGCTGAAGCTGACGGAGTTTTGTGTCAACTTGTGATGTTTTTAACTGTCTTTTTCCACTGGATGTACAAAATGAAATTCAGCTGCTATCAGGAGTCTTCTGTTACTCATGGCTAGTTTGTTTATTGGGTTTTGGTTGAGAAAACGTCGCTTGTCAAAGTCGGAAATCCGATTTAGGATGGCATCGTTTTCGTTTTCACCTTGCTTGATGCGTAAGAGGATTGCAAAGTCTGAAGCGATACTGGCTTTACCTGATAACTTTCAGGAGCTGCATCTCGAATGGTAAGCCAGAGAAATTATTGTATTTCATGTTTGTTTTTGTATCTAATTTAATGAAGTGGAGCGTAGTTTATGCGGGAATTTAGTTTATGCGCGTTTGTAAGTTTTGAGACAACGATCTCACCGAGTATCTGGTTTGATATAATCTTACAGAACTTTAAAAAGCCTTTAGACAGTTTCTCACCGCAAATAGAAAGAAAATGTTCCAAAGAATCTTTAGTTATAATTCTAGCCGGAAAAGAAAGCTTTGAGCGATTTTCTTGCCTCGAGTTCGTCTTTGAAAAAACAAACACCGGGAAGCTGGCTTAAAACATAAACTTCAGCAAACTTAAGCTTGAAGCTTGAAGACTCAGGATATTTAGGGACACTTTAATACTTGTCTTCCTGAATGAAAATTGTTGTCTCTGTTTATGTTTCACCGAATTATATTTCTTTTATTGATTGTTGGTAGTCTCTCTTGCAATTTTAATCGCTATGCCGATTGTTTTCAGTCGTTCAGTGAACATCGCTTGCAGGAGTTCTCAAAATGCCGCGCGTTAAACCATCAAATAAAAAATAAACATGATAAATTCTTTATTATCTCGGAGCGTAACTCTGTTAATGTTCATTCAAACACTCGCTACAGCTCGCACTACAAAAGTGAGAACCGGATGGCCGTATAGGTGATTTTGGAAAATTTTTTTAACAGTTTATGAATATTGAATGAGAGCAATTTGTATTGTGAAATACTGCTTTCTGTCCATGGTATAAAAGGTTGGTTTACACGCACCCAGATTTGTTGGCAAGATTTTGCAAAGTAAACTTGTCGAACGCCAAAACGTTGGCCTGATTTTTTTTTCTAAGCCTAATTGATCTACGGTGATCAATAGCCATTACGGCTCTTAAATGTGATAAAACATGAGTTACCAGAATTACCAGTTTTTGAGTGTACATATGAGGCTATCAACTCGATGTAAGATTTGGTTCACTCTTGGGCTGTTTGCAAATTATTTTTCTCTAAAATCAGGTAGCCTTTCCCTCAAAAGTCACATAAATGTGCTCTAAAGTTAACTGAATTGTGGAATTCGAATACAAGTTTATTGTTTAATTTAAATTATAAATTTACTAATGGGAGCCTCGCTTTTAGCCCTGGCTAAATCTATATATTATAAACAAGGGTTTGTCATCTGCCAAAGGCTCTAATGAAACATATTTCATGAACAGAAGTATTACTGCGGAGATGCACCAAATTGGTACATCTCCTTTGCACTGAATTCATGTCAGGAGAAACTTTCTATCGATCATCAATTAACTTAGGAACCAAACCTACTAGTAGTGAAGTAGCTTACTCAAACCAATCAACAAGAACGCTTACAACAACTCATCTAAAAACATATATCGTGGCAAATGCCACAAGTGACTCTAACGTAACTCTTCAGTCAACTTTATCCTTCAACAAGACCAAGGAGATTGAATCATCAGAAATCATTTTCTCATTTCGGGAGAGGATGTCGTTTGATCAGTGCTGATGCGTAGGAGTTGAACACCAAGTAAAATAAGTCAAATTGTTTTTTTTTTTAATGATATTTCCCTTCACCTATAGAAAATTCCCGAATCAAATGAAATTTGTAATAAATCCCAAATACCAAATAAAAGTCCTTTAATAATTTTAAGTCAAAAACATGCGCACTACGAACATTTTTCATCGCCTCCATTTTTATTGTTTAACAATTCTCTTCTAGTTTGGTTTCGGCGCGTTGATATATATAAGGTTAAGGCGTCATTGTGCTAAAGGTTCTCGCAGCATTTGAATAGTCACAACAGTATCAAATTTTTATTTACCATTGAATTTAAAGATGACAAGGAAATTCCACTCTTTGACATCCTGTAAAACACGGCCCTTTATCGTTTTTATTTTTTAAAAAATTAATTTCCAGATTACACTCCTTGAACAACTTCCCTACCAAAAAACATTTTATCTCCCAAGTCCCACGCTGGGTTATCTTTGCAGGGCTGGGGTTCATGTCGCCACACACCACCAAATACACGGTGATCAAACTTTGTGGTTTTACAAAATTTTGCAAAATCAGGAATAGCTGAAACATCTTTAGCGTTGTCATTAGCTCTTAGCCCCAGATAATACATGGTCTCGCCATATGCCCCATGCGCGCCTAAATGGGAGTCACAAACATTCGAGATGTGACTAAATCGAGGAACATATGACGCTGGAGGCTGATGATGTAACCTGGTATCGTGGAAGTATGTTATGTTTAGAATACTGCTCAGCCACAACATGACTTGTTGGTCCGCTTGTGGATGACACAACATCGAGCTTTCGTTCTGCGCCAAAAACTTCTGAATAACATCTTCGGAGAATATCATAAATGCATCATCCACCCATGTGTTTCTTGCTTGACAGTGGAAAAATCCCCAAACTAGATTTTGTTTTGGTCTCAATGGAAGCTCAGAAAGAAGCCTTTTTGGGCACAAGAAGTAGTCATCATCAATTCTAAGTAGGTACTGAAAGTTAAATTTCGCCGCTGCCCATTTGATTTGGTTAAGGAAGCGGAATCCAAACCACCCACGGCCTCCTTTAAGAGGCTGGAGCTTAATATCCTTGTATTTATCCTTTTCCTTTAAAATAAGGTTATGTTGAATTTGGTCTGTTATGAGTCCATCAGTCATGAAGACGCATTCCACCTAAAGAAAGAAAAATTCAAGTTACACCCACCAGGTCAGAACTGCCCTTATGTCTCGGGTGTCGTGTAAGCCATCTTCAGGGCCTTTCTCGAGTAAATCTGGGATGGGACCCTCCCAGAGTCCAAGAGAAAAGCCCTGGGACCCCAGCCTAGTCCCTAGGCGTTCTGTGTTGCCCGTTGTCCGCGCGAAGTCTGGGAAAGAGCGGGCGAGTCTCTGTCGATCACGTCACAGCTCATAGTAGACTCCAGGGCCCACTTGTTCGAAAGCCCATTAATCGTAACTCAGGATTAAGGTTTATTCTGGGTTTCTTGTTCTTTTGTTCAAAAGCATTTTCCCGGATAATTTTCACTATTCGTTATAGAGCATCAATTTAGTACATTACAGGCTAAAAGAATTACACTGAATTTGATTTTTAAGCTTTCATATCTGAATTTATACCTCGCACTAACCCTGGGTTATCTTAACCCTGCTTTGAACAACCCGGCCCAGGATTGACCGAACCGAGACTCCAAGGACTATGCTCCTGGGGCCCGTTTCTCGAAAGTCCCGGTAACTTTACGGGCCCGAAATCAAATATTCAGATTATATACTGATAGTTGTATCATATTATCTGTAAACCTACTGAAACCTCGAGCTTTAATGTAAACGACAACAGCTTTTCGGGCCCGTTAATAGACCTCTTTCGCTTGTGTGTTTTGTTTTCCCAATAGAGCTCTCAGGGGAACGTGAACCTTTGTCTTTTCATAAATTATGCGTAGATATGCACGAGAATAAGACGAAATTTGAAAGAAACGGTTCTCTAGAGTACATGTATTACTAGTATAATATCATAGGTGACGAATTACTCCTTAATTTTGGCGCGAAATTTCAGCGTTAATTTCTAATTTCACATGTGAAATTACAAAATTGCCATGGCAACCTTCCTTACGTCTCAGTGTCAAGATGGCGACGAAGTTTTAAAACGTCATGAATGAAGATGTCGGGGCACAAAAAGACGCTTTAGAAAACCTGAACTCACGAACGAGCACATCAAGAACGATTCTAACAGGTATTTTGTCGAAAAACTCTGAACCACTTAAGCCAAACTTAAGCTCTAAACGTTCGAGAGAGTGCAGGAGTTCTCCATCGATACGATCCAGGATAAACATGTCAAAATCCAAGATTGCTAACGTAATTCGTCACCCATGATATTAATAGGTAATCAAATGGTATACTCGTGAAATTAGGGAATAATTTCACTTGCGTTTTGTCCAAATCCTAATAATTTCCCGAGCCTAAGACAAAACGTGCGTGAAATTATTCCCTAATTTCACTCGTCACCATTTGATTACACATACATAGTTGACACTACAGCTGCCCCTTCTCTGTATGTTGTTGGTCAATAGTATTCTTACCGTTGTGTAGCTCTCTTTTCACACACATTCCATACTTTGGTGAGGTAAAAATGATGAAATGATGAAACTAAACGTTTTCTGGAAAAGCAGATTCACGACTTTCAATTCTGTTTTCTCTATTTATAACCAAGGGACCTTCGCCAATGATTCATTGAGGAGCTTTTTAGTAGAGCTTGCTTTAGCACAGCTAGACTAAAAATGCAGACGTTTCTTTATTTTTGTTTGTGTGTGGGCACCAGTTAGGACGCCATGCTCCCAAGCGTTCCTAGCAGAGACCGTGGAAACTGGGGATAAGAATGGTGATGAGTTTCATTGTATGCAAATGAGTCTCGTGATGAGCATGCGGTTTATTTTTGGCGATGACTGAAATGACGCATGTAAGTTGATTACGTTTTTGCTGTTTGGCAATGATGTAATTTTCCCCGAATCGAGGCCCTTGATTTTCGCGTTATTATGGACGCGTATTATGAAGTAAATACCCCGAGTAGGATAAGAAAATATTATAGCGGGAAATCCTATTTGTGGTGTATTGAGGCGTTACGTTTCCTCGAATATTGTCGCAGTTACTGGGACTCCACGGTTAAATAGATTCACTTTGTTGTAAGTAGTATAGGGTGCACCACGGTTTCCACTTTTTTGAGCAGGAATCTCATAAGCGTGAGCAGGAATAAATTAAAGCCAATGACGTCATAGGCTATTGTCTTGATCTCATGAATAAAATGCGCAGGAATCTCATTAAGATAAGGTCGTGTGTTATTTTTAGTTGGTTTAGGTTTTCTAGTTACTTTAATGTCGATAGACGTCTTCCTTTTCGATTGGTTAGTTAGAAAATAAGAAACGTTTTCATTGGTTAATTCATAGTGTCTAAGGAGTAAAGTCAAACTTGTCTGTGACTTAAAATCACTGAGACGTAACGTAATTATGCACTTCCTATTTCCTGCTGCTGTGATTGTCCTTGTTCCGGTTCACTGATTTTTGGCGGACAAATCGTGTTTATTAAAGAGGGCAAAGGCAAACTAGCTCTTTTTATACACTGCAAGCAATGCTTTACTTACCCCTCTCCTTTTCATTTTTTATTTTCCACCTCCTCCAAAATTTTGTTATTTTCCTTCCACAATTTTTTTATTCTCATTTTTCTTTCCTCCTCCTCCTCCTCCTCCTCATTTCTATTGTTTTCCCTCCACCACCACCACCACCACCGCCACATTTCTATTGTTTTCCCTCCACCACCACCACCACCACCACTGCCATATTTCTATGTTTTCTCTCCACCACCACCACTGTTACTACATTTCTATTGTTTTCCCTGCACGACCACCACCACCACCACCGCCACCACATTTCTATTGTTTTCCCTCCACCACCACCACCGCCACATTTCCATTGTTTTCCCTCCTCCTCCTCATTTTTATTGTTTTTCCTCCCCCTCCTCCTCCTCCTCATTTTTTATTGTTTTCCCTCCTCCTCCTCCTTCTTCTCCTTCTCCACCTCCTCCTCATTTCTGATGTTTTCCCTGCAAGTTTGGCCTTTTTAGGCCGTTTAGGCCTGATTTTGGCCTCTTTGGCCTTTCGAGGGAAAACAATAGAAATGAGGAAGAGGTGGAGGAGGAGGAGGAGGAGGAGGAGGAGGAGGAGGGAAAACAATAAAAATGAGGAGGAGGAGGAGGAAAAACAATAAAAATGAGAAGGAGGAGGAGGGAAAACAATAAAAATGAGGAGGAGGAGGAGGAAAAACAATAAAAATCAGGAGGAGGAGGAGGAAGGAAAACAATAAAAATGAGGAGGAGGAGGAGGAGGAGGAAGGAAAACAATGGAAATGTGGTGGTGGTGGTGGAGGGAAAACAATAGAAATGTGGTGGTGGTGGTGGTGGAGGGAAAACAATAGAAATGTGGCGGTGGTGGTGGTGGTGGAGGGAAAACAATAGAAATGTGGCGGTGGTGGTGGTGGTGGTGTACGGAAAACAATAGAAATTAGGAGGAGGAGGAGGAAAGAAAAATGGGAATAAAAAAATTGCGGAAGGAAAAAAACAAAATTGTGGAGGAGGTGGAAAATAAAAAATGAAAAGGAGAGGGGTAAGTAACAGGACAATCACAGCAGCAGGAAATAGGAAGTGCATAATTACGTTACGTCTCAGTGATTTTAAGTCACAGACAAGTTTGACTTTACTCCTTAGACACTATGAATTAACCAATGAAAACGTTTCTTATTTTCTAACTAACCAATCGAAAAGGAAGACGTCTATCGACATTAAAGTAACTAGAAAACCTAAACCAACTAAAAATAACACACGACCTTATCTTAATGAGATTCCTGCGCATTTTATTCATGAGATCAAGACAATAGCCTATGACGTCATTGGCTTTAATTTATTCCTGCTCACGCTTATGAGATTCCTGCTCAAAAAAGTGGAAACCGTGGTGCACCCTATACTACTGTTGTATGTATTTAATTGATAGATTTTCGTAGTTGTTAAGATATGAAGTCGTGTTGCACTTTATAAATACTTGAGATATCAATGATTTAACCTTCGACTACTACTAGAAGCAACTTTAACTACCCGTCTACGTTACGTATGTGTTTAGACGGGTAGCTTTGTACTTGACTATCACGCACTCTACTTGCAGCACTTCATGTCCATAGAATAGAAATCCCACATCGAGCTTTCCCGGAACAAAAAAAACGAATTGTAGCCCTTATTTTACTGCCTTACAATTTATCAATAATATTGAAAGTAAAAGGTCATATTAAAGGAAAGTTAGTCTCGAGAATCTTAAATTTTAAAAAAAAATGTATCGAGCGGTTTAAAAATTATTCGCTAATTTGTTAAAGAAGACCAAAATGTTTACAAAACCGCTAACAAGAGCGTTTCGATACCTAGTAATCAAATCCTTCTTTCTAGCAATCGGCTGGAGTTATCTCCATGATCTTTCACAAACGTTTTTAAAAAGGTTGAAACTACCATGAGGTAAAATTGCATGTCTAAAGCGCTTTGTTTTGTACAGATAACGGCCAAACATCAAGGTTGTCCATTTTTAACTGTGTTTCTAGCCATAAAAAAGACTTCATCCCATAATAGTCGCGATAACGCTCTTACAGATTTGGCTTAAACTTGACGAGCATCGAGGCCGCTATTAAAGGCAAAAGCAACCCCGAACGATTTTGGAAGAACAGTTCCTAGCGGCCGAGATATATTGCTGCAAGTAAAATAGGTAATAGCGTCATTTCGTAGCTATGACAACTCCGATGTAGTTGCAACCCTGATCATAAGAAATTTTCATTTTTATCCACAGCTAACCCAGGCTCTGTGATAGTACCACAGTACGATTCTAGTAAAATTACAGTGTTTGTATTGGGTAAAAATACGATCGTAAAATTTGTAGGAAATACTAAATATAAGTCAATGAAACTTACCTTGCAGTTAGTTGTTGTTGTCCCTATTACTCCAACGAAGTTTCGTGATAATTTGTACTAATTTGTTCAAATTCACTCTATATACAATTATAATATACAAGCAGTAGGAGACAAAAGATTCCATCTTCGCCGCCATGCTCTCATTCAACACAACTTTTTCCACGAAATTCGAACTCCAAC